CATGTGGTCGTTCCCGCTCCCACCCCCTTCCCTGAGCACCTCAAGGACGATAAACAGCAGGCTGGGGCACATCAACACCTACCGTCCCCAACCCAACTTGCCCGTCCTTCCCCCCCTCTTTTTCGCTCCCTTCCCCTCCCCCTTCCCTCTTCTTCCTCTCCGCCATTCCCCTCCCCCTTCTTTCTTCTTCCTCTCCGCCTGGCCTCCTTTTTCGTCTCTGTTCACCCATTCACGGGGATGGTGGGGGTGGCTGGGGTGGGCTTGCTCCGACAAGCCAGCGTCAATCTTCAGCTCGCCTGCCAGGACAATTGTTCGGGCACCCTGCTGGGTTCATCAGGGGGTCTTGCAAAAACGCGGAAGGCACGTTGTTGAAAGCATAAGGCAGAATCTCTTGAGATTCCCCCCTCCCCCGAGGACGGGCTTGCCAAACCGAGTGTCCAATCCCCCCTCCCTGCTTTCCCAGGGCGGCGTTTTTGACCCCTCGAGAAACTGCTGATACTGGCACGTCAGGACTCCCATTGCATTGCTTTAGGGAGTTGAACGGCCAGCTAGTATGAACCACAGGCTTTTGTGAAAGCCCAAATGCACCTTTAGATGAGGAGCCTCTCCTCGGATAGAAATGCGGCTCTGTCCATTCTGTCAGGTGTGAATCTTTGGATTTTTTTGGTTTGGCTGTACTGGCATATCCTCGGTTTCGCCGGCCTGGGGGAACACTGTCGGCGGAAAATAAATCACCGAATCGTCTGTCTGGGGTCCACTACTTTGGATGTACCGGCCTATCCGTGCCTCGAGGCCGCCTCGCGACAATCTGCGAGCAGGGCTGTCCGACGAAGGTGGCCTAACCGGACCTCTCGCTGGGGGAGTTCTTCGGGTTGGCTCCACTTTGTTGCGCCCAGCCGGGGGCGGACATATGCCGCCCTCCGCTGCAGCCTGCTGAAGGATTTGCTGGCCACCGGATCTGTCCTCACCTCAGGGCGCTCGGTCGCGGGGTTCTGGTTTTTGACTCGGGGGATGCCTTCCCCTCCTCGGGCCTGCTCTCGGCGGGGCGCGGCTGTCCCCAGGGCCCTTGGCTTGCCCCTGGGGGGGCTCGTTTCGCCCGCCCCCAATGGGCGCAACAAACTGGCACCAAAGCGTGAGCGTGCGCACTCGTCATCCCCCCCCCGTGGGATACCGAGTGCGCAGGGCTTGCTCAGTTCGGTGTCGAAGCTGTGTATGCTAGTTTTTGTTTAGCCCCCTCCTTTCAGGAATTCCCGCCTCAGGACCAGGACGCATCACGGACGGCCAGACGATCCCGGTCATCGGCCTTCCCTCCCTCCCCTCCTCTGGCGAGGACCATCATAGGCCTCAGCCCCTCTGGTGGTGACCATCATAGGCGCCACCCTCGGCAACTACCATCATAGAGGCTGCCGGGGTCCCACTCCCATCAGTACACTAATCCATGAAGCTGTCATTGGCGCTGGAGGGGGCCGAGGCTCTCCCAACGGTCCCTCGGCCAACGAAGGCGGCCGAAGGGAGGGGTGCCAACGTAGCTCCACAACTCAGACCTTCAAGACCTGAAGGCGCCAATTGCCACCATTCACTGTTGTCCTCCTCGGGGCCGTGAGCGGGATTTATTCCCCTGCTGGCTGGTCGTGCCTGTCAACATCAATTCACCTCCGCATTATGGTTCATTGGCCACCCCCCATTTTTCCAACATGCCAAATTCGGTGACGGGTCGACCCGTGCCGAAACGGCGGCACATGTGCCGGCGTGGTGTCACTCATGCGGTCGCTCCCTCTCCCCAACTCCTACCCACGTGATGGTTCGATCCGTGCCGCCGCGGCGTCATATGTGCCGCCGTGGTGTCGCTCATGTGGTCGTTCCCGCTCCCAACCCCTTCCCTGAGCACCTCAAGGACGATAAACAGCAGGCTGGGGCACATCAACACCTACCGTCCCCAACCCAACTTGCCCGTCCTTCCCCCCCTCTTTTTCGCTCCCTTCCCCTCCCCCTTCCCTCTTCTTCCTCTCCGCCATTCCCCTCCCCCTTCTTTCTTCTTCCTCTCCGCCTGGCCTCCTTTTTCGTCTCTGTTCGCCCATTCACGGGGATGGTGGGGGTGGCTGGGGTGGGCTTGCTCCGACAAGCCAGCGTCAATCTTCAGCTCGCCTGCCAGGACAATTGTTCGGGCACCCTGCTGGGTTCATCAGGGGGTCTTGCAAAAACGCGGAAGGCACGTTGTTGAAAGCATAAGGCAGAATCTCTTGAGATTCCCCCCTCCCTCGAGGACGGGCTTGCCAAACCGAGTGTCCAATCCCCCCTCCCTGCTTTCCCAGGGCGGCGTTTTTGACCCCTCGAGAAACTGCTGATACTGGCACGTCAGGACTCCCATTGCATTGCTTTAGGGAGTTGAACGGCCAGCTAGTATGAACCACAGGCTTTTGTGAAAGCCCAAATGCACCTTTAGATGAGGAGCCTCTCCTCGGATAGAAATGCGGCTCTGTCCATTCTGTCAGGTGTGAATCTTTGGATTTTTTTGGTTTGGCTGTACTGGCATATCCTCGGTTTCGCCGGCCTGGGGGAACACTGTCGGCGGAAAATAAATCACCGAATCGTCTGTCTGGGGTCCACTACTTTAGATGTACCGGCCTATCCGTGCCTCGAGGCCGCCTCGCGACAATCTGCGAGCAGGGCTGTCCGACGAAGGTGGCCTAACCGGACCTCTCGCTGGGGGAGTTCTTCGGGTTGGCTCCACTTTGTTGCGCCCAGCCGGGGGCGGACATATGCCGCCCTCCGCTGCAGCCTGCTGAAGGATTTGCTGGCCACCGGATCTGTCCTCACCTCAGGGCGCTCGGTCGCGGGGTTCTGGTTTTTGACTCGGGGGATGCCTTCCCCTCCTCGGGCCTGCTCTCGGCGGGGCGCGGCTGTCCCCAGGGCCCTTGGCTTGCCCCTGGGGGGGCTCGTTTCGCCCGCCCCCAATGGGCGCAACAAACTGGCACCAAAGCGTGAGCGTGCGCACTCGTCATCCCCCCCCCGTGGGATACCGAGTGCGCAGGGCTTGCTCAGTTCGGTGTCGAAGCTGTGTATGCTATTTTTTGTTTAGCCCCCTCCTTTCAGGAATTCCCGCCTCAGGACCAGGACGCATCACGGACGGCCAGACGATCCCGGTCATCGGCCTTCCCTCCCTCCCCTCCTCTGGCGAGGACCATCATAGGCCTCAGCCCCTCTGGTGGTGACCATCATAGGCGCCACCCTCGGCAACTACCATCATAGAGGCTGCCGGGGTCCCACTCCCATCAGTACACTAATCCATGAAGCTGTCATTGGCGCTGGAGGGGGCCGAGGCTCTCCCAACGGTCCCTCGGCCAACGAAGGCGGCCGAAGGGAGGGGTGCCAACGTAGCTCCACAACTCAGACCTTCAAGACCTGAAGGCGCCAATTGCCACCATTCACTGTATTCCTCCCTGCTGCTGCCGCCACCCCCGCTGTGCCCGCCTGCTTCTGCACCACCGCTGGAATCGTAGGACGCGTTTTAGCGAAAGAGCGCGGCACTGAGTCGAGCACCGCGCTTTTCGAAAACCACTGGCCCTCCATCCGTGCAACTGTTGGAGCTTGGCGACCTCGAGGTGGTAGTTTGTAAGTCTGTTTTTTTGTTGGAGGGAGAAGAGGAGAGCGGACATCCCAGCGATAGCCTCTGGTAGTTTGTAAGTCTCTGGTGAGCTGCCCGGCCCGGCCTACGAACACGCTTGGGGGTGCGACAGGAAGAGTTATTCAGAAGGAAGAGGGGTGGAGGATGTCTCCCCTCCTCCTCCTCCGCCTCCTCCTCTCTCCCTCACTCACCCTCTCTTTCCTTCCTCCTGCTTCCTGCCTTCCTTCCTCCGCTCTCCCCTCCCTCCTGCCTCCCTCCTCCGTCTTTTCCTCGTCCCTGCCTCCTCCTCTACCCCCGCCCTCCTCCTCCTCCTCCTCCTCCTCGTCGTCCTCCTCCTCGTCGTCGTCCTCTGCCTGGCGGCAGATCCCTGCGCGCGCGAACGAGAAGCGCCTCCTCGCCCGCATGCCTCTCCGGGGGCCTCCGGGGGCCGTGGGGGGCCTTGGGGAGGTCTTCTGGAGGCCCGAGCCCCCCGAGATCCGACGCTGCGGAGACCTGCAACTCGGAGGCTGCCGAAGCTGCCCCTGGCCCAAGGTGCCCCCCAGCTTTTCGCTCCATCTTGGAGCCCCTGGGGGCCCTCTGGGCCTCGTGATGGGGTGCTCTGGAGGCCGTGGGGGCCTCCCTGGAAATCCCAGGGGCGCCTTCTGGCCAGGGGCACTTCTGGCAACACCCGAACAACATCGCGAAGCATCACGACCAGAGCCCTCTAAACCCCACCTTTCTGCTGCATTTTTCGCTGGATCGATCTGTGACTTAGCGGCGAGCGAGGGGGGGAAGCGAGAAGGAGCATGCCTTCTCGGAAGGCGGCGGGGCTTATCAGAAGGCTTCTGGCCTTCTGAGAAGGCTTTCTGTATCTTCGGGGAAGGCTCAGAGAAATTCTCAGAAGGCTGGGGGACTTCCAAACCTTCTGAGAAGGCCTGCCCCTTCTCACCTCCCCCCCCAGGCTTAGGTCGGGCATGTCCCCTTCCCCATACAGGCGGATTTTGCACGAAAAATAAAAAATAGTCAAAGGAGACCCCCAAATAGTCAAAAATAGACAAAAGTCGTCTCCATTTTTTTGTTTCTATTTTTGAATACTCCTCCTGTAGAGGGACACGCCCGACTGAACCCCAGGCTCGCCGCTGAGTGGCGGGCCCTGGGCCTGTAACTCGGACGGAAACGCTCAGTGTGTGAACACTTCTGCAGCGCCTGGATCGGATCTCCGGGACGGGGCCGACGGCGCCGGAGATCGTCTCGATCCCCGAGGCTCGCGCGGCGAGGGGCGACGGCGGCGGCGGCGAGGAATCCACCGAGAACGATGGGGTGGACAGCGCCGGATCGCCTCGATCCTCGAGGCTCGCGCGGCGAGGGGCGGCGGCGGCGGCGGCGAGGAGTCCACGGAGAACGACGGGCTGCTGCCGGTGGACGCCCTGGTGGACGCCCTGGTGGAGCCGCCGTCGCCGTCGGACTGCTCGCCGTCGTCCTCGGGGAGCGGCCGCGCGGCAGGGCGGGCGCTCCCCAGTCAGGCTTGCCCCAAGTTTTTTTTTTTTTTTTTTTTTTTTTCTTTCTTCTTCTTCTTCGGAATATTATTATTATTCGTATTATTATTATTATGGTTAGTAATATTATGCTTATTCGTATTATTTTTATTCATTATTTTTATTCTTCATATTACAATTAATACGATTACTCTATTATTGTTATGGTTGTTGTTTTTACTATTGTTATTATTATCATCATCATTATTCGGATCATCATCATAATTCTGATTCGTAGTATTACTAATCTTAGTAATCTTACTCTTATTGTTGTATTGTTGTGTTCGTACTACTATCACTTTTATCTATAACAATATGGTTGTTTATACTATGCTCATCCTTTTTTCAAAGAGCTGGTCGGTACCAGGGCTGCGCCGGTTGGCCTTCCTCGGGTCGACAGGCCTCGTGCCATAGCTGCTTTTGGAGAGGTCTTCTTCGGGTTGCCGAGTCCGGCTTCCCTGCCACTCTTGAGGAGGCCATCCTCTGGTTGCTCGGTCTTCTCCCCCTGCTGCTGTGGAGGAGGCCTTCCTCGGGTGGCCTGGCTTCTGCTTCCTTGCTGCACTCCTCCCGATGCTCGGTCTTGTTTCTTGGCAGTGCCGGGGTCGCCCAGCAATGCCAACTGACGCCAAGCGGCGCCGAGCACCGCAAAGCAACGTGAACCAACGCCAATCAAACGTCTAGCGATGCCAAGAAATGCCCGGCATTGTCAAGCACTGGCAAACAACAACAAGTAATGCCAAGCAAGGCAGCGCCAAGCAACGCCAAGCAATGCAATGTCACGCAAATCAATACGACGACAAACAATGCCAAACAATGCCGCTTAGGACACGTTCCCCTAACAAGCAATGCAATACCACGCAAATAAATATAACGACACACCATGCCAAGCAATGCCGCTCAGGACGCGTTCCCCTCATTGGGGCCGCGCTGGGTTCATGTCTTCGGTTGACTTCTCCTCCTCATTCTTCCTCTTCTCTCCGTATATTTTTCGTCCAGAATATTCATGTACATGCTTTTGTCTTTTCACATGCGTCGCCGTGGCAGGGAGGGCGCGGGAACGCGAGGAAGACTCGAGAATTGGCACCTGCTCCTGAGGGCAGGCTGATCCGCTGCGGGCGGGCCCTCGCACCCGCGGGGCCCCCAATATCTGTTGACACACGTTCAAGGCCAGTCCACAAGACACCGTTCACAAAAATCTCAACCCGGAGACGCAGGACGTCCAGTGATGTTCGGTGCGGGGGCGCCACGCCCTCCATCGCAACACCCTCTAAACCCAGAGAGCCCAGGGCACCCTGGAGGCAAGCAAGGTGTTTCTTGTTGTGCCCGGATAGAACACCTGGGCGACACAACCCGAAGGGAGGTGCCCAAGGTGCCTGCATGAATTCACACGCAGTCGGACCTCGCAACATGAACGGCGGCAGAGACCCGCCCCAGGCGTCACACCTGCGCCGCCGTTGCGAGGGTCTCCAGTACAAGGGGCTTGGCCCACCGCCGGCCGAAGGCCCACGGGGCACTACGGCTCAGCTCCGCAGCCAACCCAGGCCGCGGGGTGGAGCTCCCAGGCGCGAGGAGGAGAGGGGATGGGGGGCCTGGGCCGCTCCCGCGGCCTCTAGTGGTGTGTGGTTGTCGATTCCACGGGATGCGGGCGGGAGGAGGAAGATGATGAAGATGCTGATGATGATGAGGAGGAGGAGGAGGAGGAGGGGGAGGAGGAGGGGGAGGAGGATGAGGAGGGGGAGGAGGATGAGGAGGAGGCGGAGGAGGAGGAGGGCAAAGTGGAGGACGGGGGATCGCAGATCGAGACTTCCGGACGTTTTTGGCCTTCCCACCTCTAGGGGCTATCGGAGACCTCAGGAGGAAGGGGAGACGGCGGCGGAGGAGGAGGAGGGGGCGGTGAGGCGAGGGACGAGGAGCGAGGACGGCCAAGCTTGAATGTTCTGGGAATGATGGTGGAGATGGCAAAGGATACCTGGGCCTCACTAGGGCCTGCCCGTTTCGGCCAAGTTCACCACTGGCAGCGATTCGAGTGAGTGGCGCAGAAAGGCCATGAGCACCCAGATTAGCTGGCTCAAGACAACAGGTCCGAACGCACAGTTGCCGAAGCATCCCCAATAAAAGCAAACGCTGCCAAGCATCGACGACGGCAACATACAGGCTTGCGCTGAGCTGCCAGTCACCTCTCGTCCCATCTTTGCGAACTCGTCGCGCAGGAACCAACTTGTAGCCAAGACAGCGACAAATCTACAATTGTAGCACATCGTTGGCCTTCATCGCCACCGAACCAGTTGAAGCTGCAGCGCCAACAATCTCTGACATGAGCTCATGACCACTGGGTGCCGACGAACCCAAGGCTTGTATCATCCTGTGCTTCCCGTGTGGACCGTCGCTGAAGATGACTCCCTCTGGCAATTGTGCCTGGCAGTGTGCGTTCCGGAACGCTGCCGGCTCGAATCCGAAAGTTCCAGAAGGCCCAGTGCCCAACTCGACTCGGCAGGTAATGATGGCTATGCGAAGCATGCGGATAATTTTCTGGGAGCAAGAAATATGAGACTACTGAGTTCGAGTGTAAGTGGGCAGTGAGTGGATCGGTCGAAGCATGTCGGGCGTCAGATTTGCATGCTTTGCAGCCTCTTGTGCGCATAATGCGCGCAAAGGGGGTCGCTGCCGATAGCAAGCCTAGTGGTCACGTGCAAGGAGAGGACGGTGACTACGAAACTGCCGCCGAGTCTAAGACGCTACCATAATACCATGTGGGCTCCGTCCCAGGCGCGTCCTAACAAAATAATGCAAACTCTGCTTCTAGTTCCCGCTCCCGGCGAGCAGAACCACCTCGGCTGACTCCCAAGGAACGCAGACATCACACATCTCTAGCAGGGATTGCCCCAAGTGTTTGCACTGCTGCGTCGACGCGCCGCCGCCACCGCCGCCGCCGCCCCCGCCGTCGTCGTCGTCGTCGTCGTCGTCGTCGTCGTCGTCGTCGTCGTCGTCGTCGTCGTCGTCGTCGTCGTTGTAGTCGTAGTCGTAGTCGTCGTCGTCGTCGTCGTCGTCGTCGTCGTCGTCGTCGTCGTCGTCGTCGTCGTCGTCGTCGTCGTCATTGTCGCCGCCGCCGCCACCGCCGACGCCGTTGCCGCCGCCGCCGCCGTCGCCGCCGCCGCCGCCGACGACGCCGACGCCACCGTCTTGATCACCGTTGTCGCCGCCGTCATGATCGTTGCCCGGACCGCCGACGCCGCCGTCGTCGTGACCGACGACGCCGCCGTCGCCGCGGTCGTCGCCGCCGCCGTCGTCGTCGCCGTCGTCGTCGCCGTCGTCGTCGCCGTCGTCAGGATCGCCGCCGCCAACGGGCGGGCGGCCAGGCAGCTGGCCTTGCAGCTGGGCGAAGGCGCGCGAAGGGCAGCGCCGCGCAAAGCTGGGGCCCGCCCGCCGCCGGGGCTGCTGGGTTGCTCGAACCAGCGCCTGGGCGCGGGGGGCCCGCGCCGCTCGGAGGAGGGGGATGAGGAGGAGGAGGAGGAGGAGGAGGAGGAGGAGGAGGAGGAGGAGGAGGGGGAGGAGGGGGAGGAGGAGGAGGAGAGGAGGAGGAGGAGGAGAGAGGGAGGTATAGGGACAAGGAGGAGCACGAGGAGGAGGAGGAGGAGGAGGAGGAGGAGGGCAGGAGGATGAGGAGGAGGGGGGGGGGAGGGGAAGCCAGGCGAGGGGCCCCTACTCAGCCAGCCGCATGCGGCGTCGCACCGCGGGCACCCCTCCACACAGCGAGCGAGGGGACTGCGGGGAGCAGATGGAGCGAGCCACATTCGCGGCAGTGAGGGGAAGGGAGGGAGACTTTCCTTCTCCCCCTCCTCCTCCGCCTTCGCTGGCCAGCACCCCTCTTCACCAGGCAAGCAATCATCCCTCAGGCAAGCCTCTGCATAATTTTGACAGCTCGACCAAGTCTGCCGTTTGGCTGATTCCCAAATCCTGGGATGCACAAGCGTTGGCGTCTCGCTTTGCTTCCGCCGGCGGAATCGCCCCCGTTTTACTTCCGCCAGCCTTCCGCCAACTTCCGCAGAGGGTGAGGCCCCTTCTGGAACGCGCTATTCGGCGAAGCGTACTTCTCTGCCCCATTCTGTTCCACGGGCATCGAGGCCAAGCCGTCCGACCTTCCATCAGGCCTCCTGTGGGACAGACCGAGCTCCGCCAATTCCAGGGGAGACGTCAAGCCGGCGGCCTGAGCTGGCCTTGGGAGCGTGTCGGGTCGGGCGAAAGGGGGGGATAGCAAAGGGGGGGTTTGAGAATCAGCTCACGTAGCTGATTTTCCCGGCGCCTCCCGGCGCCGGGAGGCGCCCATGTATCGAGGAATGGGCCCTTCGGTGAGGCCGAAACCAGCTGCATGCAGCAAATTTCGTAACCCCCCCTTTCCCAATCCCCCCCTTTCGCCCGGCCCGAGCGTGGCGCCACATCCTACGGCCGGGAACTTTTGCTTGGCGTGTCGCGGCGGCGGCGACACGCCGCGCCCTGCGAGCGGGTAGCGTGCCGCTCCGCTTCGCGGGGCGGGAGGCCAGGAAAGGCTCACGACGCCGACGCTCTCAGTCGAGAAGTGATGAGCGTGTCGCGCCGCAGCGTGGTGGGCCAGAGCCAGCGGCGAGACACGTTGACCGAAAACTGCCGACCGTAGGTCTCTGGCGCTGCGCTCCCGATCGCGGGCCGGGGGTCCGTCCGGAGGCCCAGGGGGACGCTGGACAAGCACACGAGCCTGCACAGCTTGGCCAACCCTCACGGTAGAACTTGGGCGAGGAGGCCAGAAGCATCCACGGCCAGCTTTACGCGCAGAAACGCGTGGAGGCAACTCGGTGAATACACGTCGCTCAATTCTGATCGTGCTCATTTCTAATTGTGCTCGTTTCTAATTGTTCCTGGCCCCCTAGTGGCCAGGAAGAGGCCCAGGATAGAACAATTAGGAATGAAAGGATCTTGGCCCCCCCCAAAATCAAAGAACCCTCGAATAATTAGAAATGAACGCTGTGTACGTAATCCCACGAATAATTTCTACTTCGGATGCGCGCTCAGATTAGGACAGCCACTGCCGCCCACGCGCTCGTGCTGGTCTTGCTGGCTGTCGCTGAGAAATGCTGCACCACGCCTGCTCGAGGCTGGGCGGAGCTCTGCCCAGATGCCTTCACGAGGCTCGTGTGGCTTATCTCGGTACCTGGATCTGCACATGGAAGGGATGACCGCGATCTGCAACTTCGTCATATTACAGTCACTGCTGCGCATGCAGCGAGCACAACATGCTCCATCCTAACAGTGCGTGTCGTCCAGACCGTAGCGATCCGAATGCTCTCAGTCTCGGCTGGCGCACCTACTTTCAAAACATGCCGGCCGTGACGACTGGCTCTTCAAAACTAGAAATCATGCAAACACCCTACTATGGCCTCGGCACAACATGTCGTTTCTTCCTCTCTGGCAACTCTTCACAGTTCACGAATACGAACCACCCCATCGGTAGCACCAATCTGACAGAAGCACAGTGGAGCCGTTAATAGTGAACTGAACATGTCCAAATCAAATCAAAGCTACGCAGAGGGCTCGGGCCTCACGCATTCTGCGACGCAAACGGTGCCGAATCGAAACGATACATCCAAACATTCTATTCTTGACCGCACGACTCGTGCATTTTCTTGCCCTGCCCCCCATGCATCCCGCGTAAAATTTCTCTAGCTCTCGCGCTTGGTGGCTCGGACATTATCACATCAAGTTGCTTCGCTTTCACTATCGAAAAAGTTCGTATTCGAGCGCAGAAAGATTGAATGTCGCTTTCGATGCTGATGGATAAACAACTCGTGCCATCACGCCGAGTGAACACATTTGATCCCCTGCCACGAAGAATTATATGTTTGAACGCCCGGAGAAACGCACGATTCTTTTGAACTATTTGGACTGTGTACCTGAACTTACCACTTGCCAGGACACACCCGAAATATGCGTCAGCATCGCAGAAACCTGCTGCATAAGCCGACTGCTCTTCATCACTTGGGCTACCGTTCATCAATTGTGCGATGTACTCGTCACTTGATGTCACTTGAGATTGCGCCCGGACTTGTCTCAAGCTCAACTGCAATGAGCTGCGCTCCTGAACCACCTCCTCACTGAGAGGAACACCGCGGCTTTGTATACCAAGAAAAAGATGCTTTTGCGCAAGCAGCAGGCGTGACTGTGGCTTCTTAATAATCAGGCTGCGGTCCAAGTCATCAAGGGCCGAGAACACTGCGGGTCCCGTTACGGACCACCGGCAGACTGGCCGATGTTTCGGGTTGCGCTGCGCAGTTGAAAACGAAGTACATCTCGTGCCACCATACAATGCATAGAAATGGCTCGTGACCAAGAGGCCCTCGGCAGTAAGAGAGAGACCAATCGAGGCTACTGGCCTCGATTTTCTACAAGTCCCTGTAACGGTCATGCAACCGTCCCCATCAAAAAAGCCACCTCGCCAATGTGGGTGTGACGCCACATATCTCGTTGATCTGGTGTGCTGCGTCAACGCTCGGGTCAGCATCGTTTTGGACCGAAACAAATGATTGAGCCAAAATGGCTACGGAAGTATGCGGAGTTGTCCTCGCTCTTGTGCCAGCAGAATTCCTTTCTTAACGTCGTCCTGGGCCTCCTATCCCAGTAGCGTTTTTCTTCGGGCTGAGTCAGGGGTCGGAGCCGTTGCTGCTCCATGTGTCCCTGGAAGCCTACATATGATTTTAGGGTGTTCCTATGTTTTCGGCCCCAGTGCGGGTTGCGGGGGGCGAGCATGGAGCGTCCCCCCTCTCCCTCCCCTCGTTTCTTCTCCCCCCCCTTTTCCATCTTCAATTGTCCACGTTCTCCACCCCTATCCCTCCCCCTCTCCTTCTCCCTCTCGTTCCCCCTCTCCTACGTCCTTCGCCCACCTCCTCCTCCTCCTCCTCCGCCTCCTCCTCTTCCTTCTCGTCCTCCTCCTCCTCCTCCTCTTCCTCCTCCTCCTCCTCCTTCTCCTCCTCCGTCTCCTCCTCCTCCTCCTCCTCCTTCTCATACTGCGGGCCGCGAGTCCAGCGGGGCGCACCGCGGAAACGACCCGGCCCAGGATCTCAGTCCTCAACTCCCCCTCCTCCTTCTCCTCCTCTTTCTCCTCCTCCTCCTTCCTCCTCACACTGCTCCAATCGGAGCTGAAGGTCACGATCGCCACGGGTGGCTTCTGGACTCAAGGGAAAAATTGAAGCGAAACTGTCGGCATACGTCAGATGTGCTCGGTGTGGCAAGAGTCCAAACACCCCGCTACACCAGTGTTGGACATGCCAGTAAGACACCGCTTCGTCAGCGTTCGTACAATCGGATGAGCCAGTTCCCGACGCTATTGCCAAACAAGATACCTCCCCGTGCTTTTGGATGCGGAGGGTCGTCCCTTCTGAGTGGGCCCAGGTAGCTCCTTCAGTCTCAGAAGAATCGATTTCGAGGACAGTTGCTAGGAGATAATCTAGAGAGCTGGTATGCTTGGGGAACGGATCCCCAGGCCTCCCAGTATATGATCGTAGGCGCAGGCGCGTGGGACAAGTTGTGGCTATTTTCCAAGCAATTTCTCCTTGCGTTTTGGGGCCCACCTGCTTGATCCTTCCCTTGGTGGGGCCGTGGCACACGGTTCCCCGCGGTGAGCCCCAAGCCTTTGAATGGGCAGCCATATTCGACCTCGGCAACCAATTCGCAAGGCCTTTCTTTTCTAAGGAACTGGCCCTGGCCGTCGGTCTGGCGGCTACGCTGTCGCTTTCGCCGCCTCGTCGCCGCCCCTCGTCTGGGTCCGGCTGTCGGTCTGGCGGCTATGTTGTCGCCGTCGCCGGCCCGTCGCCGCTCGTCGTCTGGGCCTGGTTGTCGGTCGCCGCGCTTCTTGTCACCGCCGCCGCCCGCCGCCGCCGTCCGTCGCCGCCCGTCGTCTGGGCGTGGCTGTCGGTCGCCGCGCCTGTTGTCGCCGTCGCCGCCCGTCGCCGCCGTCCGTCGCCGCTGCATTGCACTGCTTTTCATTGCAACGCATGTCTAGAGAATCGACTTTACCCCCCCCGGGATTTTCTGTTCCCCCTTCTCGTATTGCAATGTACATCCGATTCTGCCCCATCGTCCATCCGGGATATGAATTTACACCATCCCACGGGGGCCAGTATCGGCATCCCCCGCCATCCTCTGCAACAGATACTATGCGCGCGCACTCGTTTATCAATAATCATATGTTTTCAGGAATGCCTTGACACAAAACAAAAAAAACGAAATGCGCACGCGCGCGTCGTCGCGCGCGCATGCCGGAATCCTTCAAAATCCCTCGGCTTCGTAAGGATTTCACAATCGAGTGTTCAAGGAACACATAAAAACAAAAGGTCTCGCAACACGGATTTTCATGAACAGCTCGTTTTCTAACGTTTTCAAACAAATCGCTGCGCGCGCATGCCCGAATCGTTCGAACGCCCCTGCGCGCGTGCCGCCGCGAGAATCTTTTGCAACACATGAGACGAAGTGCACGCGCGCGCGCGTCGTCGCGCGCGCATGCCGCAATCCGCGAACAATCGTCGTATTCGTAACGATTTCAAAACCGAGTGTCAACAAACATATCGAATCACATGGTTTCGCAACACCAACCCTCGAAAAAACGTGCGCTCGCGCTCTTGCGAATTCTTGAAACAATCATAGTTCGTTCAACATTTTCATCGAATTCTGCAAAACGGGCCTCTCGTGCCGCATGCCGACATCATTCGCGCGCTCTTGCGCGCGTGCTGGAGGCACGATCCGTGTCAAATAGTACCATGCGGGCCACTCTCGCGCGTCGGCCGCGCGCGCATGTCGAACTCTTTCCAAAACCGTCATCACCGACGCGAAGACGCCATCATCGTCGTCGGCGCGATCAACATCGGCGCCCGCAATGGCCGCGTCTTCGTCGTTGTCAACAGCGTCACCAACATCGCTACTATCATCATCGTGTCTACCGTTGTCGACATTGCCATGATACGGTGCCCGCCCAAGTCGCCGACTCGCTATGAAGTGCCCGCTGGGATGTGCCCAGCGGTCAGCGCCACCGCGGCCGTGTCGGTCGTGCCAAAGTAGCTGGCCGCTGCGTGCGCGTGCGAGGGCTGGCGCGGCCGCAGAGATGCATCAGTCAGCGCCAAGCACTCATCGCAATCGCAGCCGCATGAGGTTTGCAAACCAAGCTGCGGGTGGGTGGGTGGGATATTTGCGCGAGCCGTGGAGTGGACAACTTCAAATCTACTGTTGGTAGACTGCGCCACGTATCGCACCACATATATCTCAGGCTAGGTCCGGATCATACCGTTACTCTGCAACTTCCTTCCCACTGGACTGGAAAGAAGGCCGTGCGTCGAGGGTGGCCCATGTGGTTGATGCAGGGAGACGCCTGTGTCGATGTCCGACAAAACCATAGTCTCCGAAATTGAACGGCTTAAGGCCGGAAGAACGTAGCGGAAGGCTCGACTGGTGAGGCGTCGCTTGTTGAGGGTCGGGTTGGAGTCGATCGAGGCCCCCCAGGACCTCAGGGCGGACAGCCCAGTCCCTTCTCCTGTTGCTGTCGCGCGGCTTCGCGTCCGCGCACACCCTGGCCGATCAATGGCAAGTCCTGTGCAGTGTGCTTCAGCTCGACGTCGAAAATTCGGGAGTTCGAGTGGTTGAGCAAATCTTGCATCGCCACCTGCCTGTGGATTCCAAGTTGTTCCGAGTCGGGTCAGGACGGAGTTTGCACTTGGCTGGTGGCTGGACGAATCCTTCACAAGCCCTTCCGTATCAAACAGACCTTGGTCTTTGGTTCTGCGGCTCATGCGGATTCTTTGGCAAGGCCCAGCTCCACTCAGGGTGGGTACCGTGCCGGCCTTATCCTCTTAACAAGGCTAGGCGCGAATGTCTTCACCGTGTCAGACCTGGCCTGTTTCCCAAATGCGGATCTCAAGCTTTTAATCACTGCGTGATGGCGGAGCTCCTCACCATCCTTCTCCTCCTCCTCCCCCCTCCTCCTCATTCTCTCCTCCTCTCCTCCTCTCCTCCTCCTCCTCCTCCTCCTCCTCCTTGTCCTCCTCCTCCTCCTCCCCCTCCTCCTCCCTCCTCCTCTTCTCCTCCTCCGCGTCCAAATCCTCGTCCTCCTCCTCGTCTCCTCGTCCTCCTCCTCGTCCTCCTCCTTGTCCTCCTCCTCGTCCTCCTCCTCGTCCTCCTCCTCGTCCTCCTCCTCCCTCTCCTCCTCCGCCTCCTCCTCCTAATCGCCATCCTCCTACCCCATTCTCCTCATCCCCTCCCCTTCCTTCCCACGTCCTCCTCCTCTTCCTCCTCCTCTTCCTTCTTCTCCTCCTCCTCTTCCTCCTCCTCCGCCTCCTCCTCCTCCATTCCTTTGTCCCTATAGATGGTTCTTCCGTGTCGCACCACCAAACGTGTCCGTAGGCTGGGCCGGGCGCTTCGCTTGAGTATCCCTCGCCAATTAAGACCCTATCGCTTGACATTTTGCACTGTTTTCCAATATGGAGCCCGGGTGGTTTTCTAACTGTGGCTCTCGCCTTAGCATCGCGTGCATTCGTATTACTACTTGTCGCAGTTTTAAACTTGGAGGTTGCTTTCTTTTCGAAATGTGGTTCCTCGCCTTAGCGCCGCGCGCGTCCATGCGACCTAACCCTCACCATCCCAAGCACTACTATTATTCGGTGTGCACCCCGCCGACCCAACCGTCACCACCCGATGCAAACGAATGCAAGTTTGCTCGCAGCCATACGACCCAACCTTCATCATCCCATGCTAACAATTATTACTCGGCGCACCCCCAGACGACCCAACCCGTGCCATTCTATACAACATGGCCCAGTCGACGTACATCCGTACGACCCATTTTCTCGGCCGGCGTAAACGTAGTACTCGGTGCGTATCCATCCGACCCAGCCCTCACCTGTACCATTCGGTGCGCATTCATTCGACCCACCCGCCCGCCATCCCATGTAAAAATAACAGACAGCATGCGGGGCGCATCTGCCGATCTTCAGCATCGACCCGCCCGCTGGCACCCGAACGGCTCCTGGGCACAAAGGGCACAACACATCAATGCATCGATCGCACACACACACACAACACGTGGATGCGTTTCGGGCGCCGCTCGCCGCTTCCGATTTTGGACCCCAGCGCTCCCCAGGTGCCCTGGCGCCGTGCACGCTCGGCTTCGTCCTTGGCTGCGCGAGTGGATGTCGAACCCTTTCCAAGACGGTGGGGGCATTGGACAAGGAACCCTTCGATAAGGAATCCAGGGTCTGGAAGCCGGTGGAACTCCAATCGCAGATCGGCCATGGATATCATCGCCGCATCGCCAGATCAGGAGTTCTCAAATGTCTGCAGCTTCCTGGGGACATTCTTTCAAGAACGCCCCCACCGTGTTGTGATCTTCACTTGGCCTCGCGCACATTCGAACACAAAGTCCACCATCTATACTCGCCTAACCCTTCCTCGACCTATGCGATCCGGCGTTTCACATTGTGCAACAGTTAGCACGGATGGAGGGCAACTCCTCTTTCGAAACGGGGCTCTCGCGTGAGACTTCCGCGAAGGATACGTCCACGACTTTGACATCCTGTAGAGCTGCGACGGATGCAGGGCATGTGCTTCTCAAAGGGGTACTATCCTGGGCATCTTTCAAGTGGAGGAAGGATCCTTTGCAACAGGCGCCCTCGTCCGACTGGCGGACAGACAGGCCGCTCGTCATTCAACAGGGGCACCCGCAGTGGGAAGAAACACTTGTATGGACTTCTGAGGAGGCGACTTGTGACCAGAGGGTGTGTTGCAACATCGGTTGACGCATCTTGGGTTTACTCTTGTCCTCCTCCTCCTCCCTCCTCCTCCTCCTCCTCCTCCTCCTCCTCCTCCCTCCACCTCCACCTCCACCTCCTCCTCCTCCTCCTCCTCGTTCTCCTCCTCCTCTCTCCCTCCCTCCCTCCCTCCCTCCCTCCCTCCCTCCCTCCCTCCCTCCCTCCCCCCTCTGCGCGCGCCTCGCGCACCAAGGGAACACGTGCTCCACCCAGACCTCCGCCGGCAGGCCCGGCGGGCCCCCGCTGCCAGCGCGCCCGAGCAGCCCCACGCGCACCACCGACCTCCGCCGCGGGCTGTTCGTCGTTGTCTTTGTCTCTGTCTGAGCCTTCGTCTTTGCCGCCGTCGTTGGCCTCGTCGTCACCATCGTCGTCGTCGCCGTCTCGCCGTCTCGTCGTCGTCGCCATCTCGCCGTCTCGCGGTCTCGCGGTCTCGCCGTCGCCGCCGCCGTCGCCGTCGCCGTCGCCGCCGCCGCCGCCGCCGTCGCCGTCGCCGTCGCCGCCGCCGCCGCCGCCGCCGCCGCCGTCTTCGTCGTCGTCGTCGTCGTGGTCGTCGTCCCTCAAGATGGCCCTAGAGGCTCTCAAGAGGCCTCCAAGATAGCCCAAGAGGCCTCCAAGAGGTCCTCCAGGAAGTCCCGACGAGGTCAACATCATCATTTTTCCTTAGGTGTTGGAGGGGTTTTGGCTTTTGCGCCTTTTCGGCTTTCTGACGGCCCAAGACGGTCAGACAGACCCCCAAGATCGCCCCAAGATCGCTCAAGAGGCCTCCAAATGGCCCCAGGACGGCCCAAAAGGCTCCAAAGACAGCCCCCAAAGTGCCCCAAGACGGTCCAAGAGGCCTCCAAGACGCCCAAGATGGCCTTCAAAACGACCCTGAAGTGCCCCGAGAGGGCCACAAGACGGCCCAGAGACCAAGACGGCTTCCGACGGCGTCAGACAGGCCAGGACGGCCGTAAGATGGCCAAAGAGGCCCCCAAGAAGCCCCCAAATGTCCCCAAGAGGCCCAAGAAGACCCCCAAGAGGTCTCCAAGAGGCCCCCAGGAAGCTCCCAGAAGGCCCCAAGAAGCTCCCGAGAGGTCTCCTCATCATTCTACTCATCCTCCTTTGCCACCCTCTCATCCTCCTCTTCCTCCCCCCACGTCTTCCCCGAAGGGCTTCCACAACGGCTGGGCGAACGCATGGTCCAATAGCGTGGCCAAACTTTGCCCAAACGTCTGGCCACATGGGCGCATCTCCAAAGGTAGGGGGCGGCGGTGATTTGCCGCAGGCGTCTTCGAATGTAGACGCACGTGTGCCCTCTCCCACTCTCTCTCTCTCTCTCACACACACACACACCCCGTCGGGGCTGATTGGAGAGGAGACGCGAGAGGACACAGGACCCTCCAGAGGGCCAGATTGCCACGGGAATGTAGAAGGCGGGGGCCGCGAAACCACAGGACACAAAAGGTACCCTTGCTTTGGCAGGGCCGACCTGCGAATCAACCTCGACCGTGCCATCTGACTGCCGCTCTGCCTGCCTCTGTGCCTGCCCCTGGCCCTTCCTGCCCCTCCGCTTCTTTCTCTCTCTCTCTTTTTTTTTTTTGCTCTCTCTCTCTCTCTCTCCCCCCTTCCTCTCTCCTCTCTCTCTCTCTCCCCCTTCCTCTCCTCTCCTGCTCCTCCGCTTCTCTCTCTCTCTCTCTCCCCCCCTATCCTCTCCTCTCCTGCTCCTCCGCTTCTCTCTCTCTCTCTCTCCCCCTTCTTCTCCTCTCTCCTCCCTGCTCCCTCGCCTCTTTTGGGGGTGGGTGGGTGGAGAGGGGCCCTTCTCTGAGCATTTTCTCAGGGTGGAGGGCTCGGGGTGAAATCCACATGGGCTCTTACACCTCGACAACCAGTGCGCCTTGTGATGCACCTTCTTGCAGATTCAGACCTCGAGTACCAACCGAAACAGGATTTCAGATTTCACCCTCTGCCCTCCGCCCAAAGAAAATGCTCGGCTTCTCTCATCCTCTCGGTCCCCGTCCATGTCTCCGCCTCCGCCTCCGGAGGAGCGCCCCCCTCCCCGGCCCTCCGCTCTGCCCCTGCCTCCGCTCCTCTCCTTCACCGTCCTCGCCGTCGGCCCCGCTCCCCCAGGGGCAGGGAGCGACACTGGCCAGCACAAGAACGGATCCCATGACGACGGTCACCTTAAGGCCCTCCTCCTCCTCCTCCTCCTCCTCCTCCTCCTAACCTTCCTTCCTTCCTTCCTTCCTTCCTTCCTTCCTTCCTTCCTCCTCCTCCTCCTCCTCCTCCTCCTCCTCCTCCTAACCTTCCTCCGCTTCCTCGTCCTCTTCCGCCTCCCCTGTTCCTGTTCCTCCCTGAGCCCGACCGCAGACGGACAGGGGGAGGAAGACGATCCGGAGCAAGCAAAGACAGACAAACGCAGCAAGAGAGAAGCTGAGGTCCGCTGCCCTTCAAGAGGGCTATTCCAACCACAGGCGATCCAGTAATGATTATCCAGGAGAAGGGAAGGGGAAGAGAAATTGGCTACACGTAAGAGTGACCCTAAGCAAGAGTAACCTTTGGTGGGCGACTTTCGGGGGCCACGGGGAACCGAATCCAGGCGGGCAAGCTGCTTCGGCCAGTGCGGGGGGCACCTTTGTGGGCCCGCACCAAAGTAGTGGAACACTCGGAGGTCCGCGCGGATTTCTCGGATCGGCGCTAGGGCCCCCTCCCTGGCGCGCGGAACGCGTCAGGGGCGGCGCCAGAGGGCTCCAGCGCCGATCCAAGGAGTCTGCGCGGGCCTCCGGATTTCGATGCTCATGTCACCGTTCGTTCCCCGACAGGGAGCACTCCGCCGAAGGGCCACCCTCACGCGAAGCCGACGCAAGCAGGGTGCAAGTCAAAATGGCCAGCGATAGTGGCCAAGGATGGGCCGAAGGGGAAGGATTCGAGGGTAACCTTGGAACGTCGCACATCCTTGGTGCTCGTTTTGACTGCCTTTACTAGCCCGTGCCGAAGGTCACTCCAGCAAAGGGTCCGGCTCACGCGAGGCCGAAGATAAGCAGGGCGCACGACCTTGGCAGCAGGGGGATGTACCGCAGCAAAGGGGGCACGACGGTCGAGGGCGACCCTCATTGCGGGCTCGCCCAGCCCGCCGCAATACAAATCTGGCAGGGGCAGGGAAATCAACCACTGACATTGAGGGAGCGAAAACCCCATGGGGGGGGGGAGGGTACGGTGGAGGAAGAGGAGGGATGGAAGAGGAGGAGGAGGAGGAGGAGCAGGAGGAGGAGGAGGAGGAGGAGCAGAAGCAGAAGTCAGGAGGAGGAGGACGAGAAGGAGGAGGAGGATGAGGAGGAGGAGGAGCGAGGAGGAGGAGAGGAGGAGGAGGAGGAGAGGGAGGAGAGGAGGACAGGCCAGGAGGAGTCAAGGAGAAGGAGGAGGAGGAGGAGGAGAGGAGGAGGGAAGGAGGAGGAGGAGGAGGAGGAGGAGGAGGAGGAGGAGTCAGGAGGAGGAGCCAGGAGGAGGTGTCAGGAGGAGGTGTCAGGAGGAGGAGTCAGGAGGAGGTGTCAGGAGGAGGAGGGGGAGTAGGATGAGGAGGAGGAACAGGAGGAGGAGGATGACCAGTGTAAACCCAAGAGCCATCAACGACATTGGAATAAACTCTCCCTCCAAGCTCCCTATTCATAGGCTCTTGCAACGGTTCATCCACACTGAGGGAACTCCCTCGTCGGAAGACAAGCGTTTGAAGAATCTGAAACATGCAAACACATTGTTCTCGGGATTCCAACGCCACGGATCAAACCGACTGTTGAATTTTGACGAGCCTGAATCGTGCCAGAACGCCAATCCTGGGACTTCAACACGCGAATCAACGTAACTGTTGCGCCCGCATCATCCGGAATCTTTTCAAAACGTCATTTCTGGTACGTTGATCATGTCAGCCCGTGAACAGATTGACTTTTCTGAAACGAATGTGCGCGGCGCTAAAGCGACAACCACATTTCTAACAAGGAACCGCCCTGAATCCGTGAAACTCTTGCAATTATGTATGCACGCAACGCTAAAGTGATAAACACATTTTGAACACCACCCACCCTCCATACGTGAAGCTCTTGCACTGTTCAAACGAATGTGCGCGGCGCTAAAGCGAGAACCATATTTTGAAAAAGAGCGGCCCTCAACCCGTGAAACTCTTGAAATTGGTTAAACGAATGTGTGCGGCGCTAAAGCGAGGACCGCATTTTGAAAACCAGTCGCCCTCAATCCGTGAAGCTCTTGCGCATTTGTAAAAAGAATGTGCACGGCGCTAAGGCAAGAGCCACATTTTGAAAACCACCCGCCATCCATCTGTGAAACTGTTGCCATGTTGTCAATTTTGGAGCTTCAGGGTCAAAAGTAGTGAGGAAGTCTCAAGCGAATCGCCAGGCCCGCCCGAACCGCTTGCCTCGGTATGCGACAGGGAGAAATGGTATATATCTATATAGATGTATATATGTAAACATATAAATATATATACATATTTATATATATACACACTAGAACCACGCGCGCGCTTCGCGCGCGCTTAGGTTCTAGCGCAGACGCTTCGAATTGCAACCTCTGGTTGGGACGACGAGTGCGATGGCCTCCACAAGGACGACAACGACGACGATGACGACGTCGAACGACCACGTCTCGCCTTTACTGTTCATCTTGCGCCTTAGGCTGGCGATATGCCTTAGCACCGATACCGATACAAATCCTCGTTAACTCTTCTGCTTCCGTGTTTTCCACCTTTTTACGTTGCGTGCACTCCTCCTCCCTTTTGTCGTCCTGATCCCTCCCTTCTCTTCTTTCTTCTCCTGGTCTTCCTTTTTCTTCTCCTCCTCTCTCCCTACTCCGCCTCATTGTTCTCTTTCTTGTCTTCTTCTTCCTTTCCCTCCTCCTCCTGCTCTTTGTTCTGAACCACTATTTTTCTTATCCTCGCCTTCATCGTCCTTCTCATGTTCCTTCTCCTCGTTCTCTGAGCTTCGTCCTCGTACGGCGTGTTCCGGAAGAGGCTGCTGGAACGCGCTAGGCGCAATGGGTGGTTTCGTCATTCAATGTGCCGTTGAGTCCAAGAAGCCAGGGCACCCTGGAGTGAAGCTGATGATTTCTTGGAAGGGGTTCCCCACTGTAGTCCCCGGCGCCCCCTCCCCCTCCTCCTCCGCTCATTCCTCCTCCTCATCATCCATCTGCTGCTTCTCCTCCATCCTCCTCCTGAAGGGTAGGAGGAGGATGGAGGAGGAAGGGGAAAAGGAGGAGGAGGAAGAGGCCCCCAACGAGATCCCCCCCCCCCCAGCTTT